GATCCTGGAGTAGAAGGCATGTCTGCTGCAGTCTGCCCTTTACATACAACCAGTGGCCTAAGTCCTCTACTTGCTTTTCTTAAATTGAGGTAGGGGCAGGGGCAAGGGAAGCATATGTTTATCACCATTCCCTATACTCAAGGCAAGCAGTGTTTCTGCAGTCACCATGCTCTTAAGTCTATAGGGTACTTCCTCCTTAAAGACACCCTGCATCTTTAGTTGAGCACAGGATGTGGATTATTCATGCTACTATTACTCTGGTTTTTTTCCCTTGGTATTATATAGTAAGTATTTTGGTAGGCTTTGTTGTTGTTGTCACTGAAAACTTAAATTAACTTAGTTAATATAGTAGCTTGAATTTCACGTTTAGGAGTATGCAAACCAAAGCTGATCAACAAATCAAACAGTCGGAAGTCTAAATCTCCTATTCCTGGGCAAAGCTACTTAGGAACTGAACGGCCTTCTTCAGTGTCCTCTGTACATTCGGAAGGTGATTACCACAGACAGACACCAGGATGGGCCTGGGAAGACAGGCCCTCTTCAACAGGTGGGGAGTGTTGAGGAGCCTTGTTTAACTGATAAAAATTAGATTCAATTTGTGTCGGTGCTTTGTTACTATTATCTGCTTGTGAATTAGATGTTATGATTTGGGTAAGAATTGTGGTTTTTGGTTTTTGAGGCAGGATTTCTCTGTGTAGCCTTGGCTGTCTTGTAACTCACTTTGTAGACCAGGCTGGCCTCAAACTCACAGATCTGTCTGCCTCTGTGTCTTTAGCACTGGGATTAAAGGTGTGCTACACTGCCTGGCAGAACTGTAGCTTTCTGTATTGTTACTTGGGTCTACTTTTCACAAGATAATTTATATTTAGGTAGTCCATACATCCTCGTCTCTGCACTGTGCTAGTTGGTAACTAGTATTTGCAAATAACTGGTTTCAGCTCTCCCATGAATTATACCCAGATGAAATGTCACCCGAGGTGACTCCCCTTTAGTTTTTACTAAGAAATCAAAATCAGAACTAGGAAGCATGAAGCATTAACAAAAGCCATCATGTCTATAGGTTACATTTCTATAAATGTCTCATGTGCACGTGTGCTTTTAAAAACATAACATCAGTGAGATAATGAAAATAGCTTTAGTGTAAAGTAACTGCAGGCCTAATGGCCTGAGTTCAATCCAACCACATAAATCTCCCAAAAGTTGTCCTTTGACCTCACCCATGTCATGGCACAAGAATGCCCACATAGATCATACACAATACATACAAGAATTAAGTATTTTTAAAGTAGCCATTTTTTTGAAAGGAAGATACCTGTAGATTTTAGCGTTTCAGTCAATTGTATACAGCCCCCCCCCCCCCCCGATGGGTTAATACACATTCATTCCTCTCCCCCTGTGTATGTCTAACAATTTCATAGTTATAACTGTATACTTCAAGGCTTCTGCCTTTTAAATTTCTAATGACATGTGTTATGGGGTTATGTATTAGTAGTCTTTTATAGAAGCAATGCATACATCAGCAAGTTGGTTAGCATATAACAGAAAAGGTTGCTTCACTGCATCCTCACACATAAATGTGTCAGTGTACTTTGTTTTCTTCCTCCCTGCCCAATACCCGTTTCCCTTACCTTTCCCTTCACCCAGTGGTTTTCTTAGTTCAAATGTTCCATTACTTTAGGGAATTTTTCTTTTTATTACATGAGAAGAAGACTTGATAAAATGCATGTTTTATGTTTTTACTTTAAAATGATAGAAGGTATCTAGAAATGACAATGGCAAGTGGTGTTCTTGTTACTGTACCCCATTTTAAATCTCATACACATTGAAGTCAGCCTGGTGAGACTGCATAGAGGTCATACAGCCTTGCTAAAGTTTCTGGGTACTTGCTACATTCTGAGACCTATATTTCTGATTTCTACTGGAAAGTAATTAGTATGGCTAGGCTCCTCCAATTACAGCTTAATATTTAGTAGCTCTCTGCTTAGATTCCCCGTGCAGAGATGAGTGATGTGATATCATAGACCTATCATCCCTACTCATGTGGTTACTTGTGTTATATATCCTTTTTAGAATTAAACCAGTTGATGGCTTTTTCTTGCCATTCTGTTTTCAAGGTATCACAAGACCATTTTACTAGAATACTGCTGCCCTGTCCCATCCTGTAAATACTGCATTAGATGCTAACAACACTAAAATTCTCCTCTTCCTTTTCTCAGGTTCTACTCAGTTCCCTTACAACCCTCTGACCATGCGGATGCTCAGCAGTACACCACCAACACCGATCGCGTGTGCCCCATCTGCCATCAGCCAAGCAGCTTCCCATCAACAGAACCGTATCTGGGAGCGGGAGCCTGCCCCACTGCTCTCGGCACAGTATGAGACACTGTCTGATAGTGACGACTGACCTTGTGCACAGGACGGAACTCTGGCTTTAATTTCAGATTTAAAGATTCAGCCCTCCTATGATTTGTGCCCAGAGACTTCTCAAGAGAGCCAGGGCCACAGATGGAGAAATGATGGAAATTCATTTGGAAACTCAAATGAGAGGAAAAACAAGACAAAAACAAAAACACCTGCCTCTAATATAGGCAATTCAATGGATTTTGTAAGTGGAGGAGGGTTGAAGTGTAGAGTTTTTTAAAAGTGGACAATTCCTGTTCTTACATCTGTTTGTAAAGAAAACCATGATGTCTTTAAATCACTCTTCTGTAAATAGATGACCTTTTTGCAGTGTATCCCCTTGCTGTAGTATCTGGTGTACTTAAATTTAAATCAGCACATCAACATTGGGTAATTTTTTAAATCTTTGTCTATCTTTTTAACCCCAGCCTTCTAAACAACCTCCCGCAGCGGTTATAAGTACTGGCTGCCATGGGCATTGTACTTTTGTTTCCTCTAAATTCAACTTTCCAGGTAATGTTTAAATCTTGTGAAAATGTTTAGGTTTTTAACACATACCCTGTCATAAAGCCTGAATGAGGTCAAAGGGCAGGAGCAACAGAACTGTCATATTGTGAATTTCCAGTGCAGGCTTTACTTTCTTCATTAGTAGCACTGAAAAAAAAAATATTACTGCATGGGTATGTTATAGTTCAGTTTTAAAGTTTAAAGGATTATTTGAGGTATACCTCAGTGTTTATGCACACTGGTAATTTAACCATGCCCCTAATTATTATTCTGCATTTAATGCAGCCCAACACAGCTTTTTTGTTCTGAAATAAATTTGACTATCCTGTCCATAGCTACAGTACATCATTTGTGACTTGAAGAGTCTTCGTGTCTCAGGTTTCAAACAAATACATACTGGCTGAGTTAAAAAGATACACTCTATACATGTACAGAACCTCGGTCTTCCAGGCTTGTTTTATGCTGTGTCCTGAACTAACCATTAAACATAGTCCTTTCCTACATCAACGCCTACTTGGCTTCTACAGAACACGAGGAAAGTGTTTTCAAGGTGTAAGTAATTTAAAGACTGAATTTATTTTAAACTAATTATGGTACTGGAGGATCATTTTTTTAATTAAGAATGCTTGCCGTGTTTTTGAATTTGCTTTCATACAGCCTTCTTGTGTCCAGGTTTCTTTCATAAAGACACCTAGTGGTTTGGGGATAATGCCACAGAGAACTAGAAGGGAAAAACAGGTCAGACTTTTCAAAAGACCTGAACTTCTAGAACTCAAATCTCTAGACCACGGCCTGAGCCCCGCTTAGCATCTGTACTCCTGGTTTCCAATCTCCCTTTTTTACTAGGTGGAAACACAGGCTCAAATTTGGCCATATAACTTAGCAAGTAACAAAGGCAGACATTTGAGATATTAAAGTAAACTTGAGCCACACATGGTAGCACACACCTTTAATCCCAGCACTTGGGAGGCAGGCAGATCACTAAAAGTATAAAGCTAGCCTGGATTACAAGGTGAGTTCTAGGCCAGCCATGGCTACACAGTAAGACAGGACTCTTATTACTTATAGTGTTCAACATGTCCTTTTACAGTAGTCATAAACATAATGAAGACTGAGTGTTTTGATTAAGTTTACTGCTGAAAGCCCCCCCCCCCCCCGGCCAAGTTCTGGTAATAGCCTAGAACTTAAGTAAATTATCTTGCCAACTGGCCCCCAAAAATGATGATGGCTGACCCTAAGTGTCTTTCGCTGTTGCGGGTTGGGTTCTCTTTAGGACAGAATAGCCTATCTTGCTGCTCTTGTATCTCCATCTGAAGACTACTTGCTCCATGCTTACCACAATACTACATGAAATCCAGCATCACTTCTTAGTTCAAAACAATTACAACAGAACCTCACCAAGTTTACCTAGAAAAGCAATACTAAGGGAGAAAGCAAGCACCGATACTCAGCAGTCAGCTACAAATCAAGGTGTAACTTTTTTTGTGGGCCAACACTTTCACACATGCACATACAACTAAATCAAGGTCTTCCAGTAGAGGTAATAAATATTCTGACAATTTTCCAGCTTAGTGAGAAATTTTATACTACACTTTAAATGTTCATATGTTGCAATTTTTGTCTTACATACACTTATGCCCTGAAAACTCCAGTAACAAACTTTAACATGGAATTAAATGTAAATTGTTTAAAGTTGTAATCAGTAAAAGGAGATCAGTCCCCTTTGTCTCACTGCCTTTTTTATAACAGTGCAAAAGAACGCTCCTGGGAACAAAGGCCTCAGACCATTTATCTGAAAACTGCAATTTCCCTAGCCACAGGACCATGAGGCGATCACCACAGAGCATTAAAAATCCTAAGACTTTACTTCTGGTAATTCTGGACTTATAAAACAGTAAAACACTCTCAAAGAAAAAGGTGACTGAAATCTTTTGTTATTCTTGGTTAGCTAGGGAGTAAGTGGTAAATAAGCTTAGAAGGTGATGAGAACTGGTCCCGAACACCACAAAATTCTGAGGATTTGGAGCTTAGGGTTTTCCTTTTAGTAACTCAGTTATTTTTCTATAATTCAAAGATTATTAGAATACAAACAATATTGTGTAGTTTCTAGTTTATTTATAAAGATTCTCCCAGTACAAGCATATGAACCAATGTCCATTGGCCAGTCCTACTCACGTTGCCCACCTTCATGGGGATGCCAATACCACAAGTGTTCCTTCATGGCACCCAGAAAAATTGTCTTTTCCCCAGGCAAATGGCCATCTGTCAGGCTGCAAAGGTAAAAGCATCAATCCGTGTATATTGTATGTATGTAATGTGAGGCAGTGATAGTTTTTTTTTTCTCCCAGCATAACAGTCAATGCATTTTAGTCATCAAAGAATGTAATTACTTTCCTATTTTACAGATGTGTATACAGAGCTTACAAATAAAAAGCTAGAGTGAGGGTAGGATCCAGGTCAGTGGTTCTACACTGCCAATGGCACACATCAGTGCTGTCACCATTGTTATAACTAGGTTCAGCTCCACTCCACTGTGTGACTATGGCTATAAAGGAAGCCCAGTGCTTGACAGCACTAATGTGTGCAGTCTTTCTGCCACCACCATTTTAGTGCACATATAAACAGGTGATAAAGTGCCTACTTCTACTTTAGAAGTGAGTGCTGCTTACTGGTGGCCAACTAGAATTTCCCCCCTACATTCACTAAATCTCACAATGCTTCAATAAGCTTCAATAAAAGATTATAAGAAAAACTCACCAAAATCCTCCTGTGCCATCAGACAAGTAACTTCTTTGCCAGAAATGGATAGAGATCAGAAAGCATGAACCAAAATCTTATGGAAGGTGTAATGACCACACTATGGAGAACTTGGCCATGTCCATAATTTTCTCAGACCAGGATGGACCCCCTTTCATGTTGCAATGGAAAACCACTTCACACCACACCCTTATAAGTCACAGTCAGTATAGGGTGAAAGCTGTTGTGCCTTTACAAACAAAAGTAGGACTAGGCACAGTGGCACCTGCCTATCAACACCCCAGCACATGAGGTTGGAGGACTCCAAGTTGGAGCCAACACCACCATCACAAAGTAGAACAAAAATGGCAGTGTATACAACTTTTCCTTCACCGAGGCTGAGTTAAAGAAAGCTGAATTTCAACAATGACTCAAACCACTGCTTGGGGGCCAGACACTGAAGAACAGTCACTCTTTTGGGCTACTAGAGATCACCCTCCCTACAACAAATGAACTTACATAGTTTAACAGAATTAAGTCAAAAGTCTACTTTTTCTTGACAGCTCAGCCAATTCTTGCCTGATGTGCTGCACAGAAACCTCGTCTCTTTTCAGCTCTGCTTGCTTCAGTGCTTCCTGGTAGATCTCCTTTGCTTGTGTGTATCGTTCTATAATAACCCAAAGACGGGAGAAGAAAATGTGGTTTAAAGTGACTAAAGGGAAGCACTACTAGTGAAGACTTGGGTCCAATTTTACTGGGCACTTCTAGAATAACATCTAATGTTGCCTCATCATAGTTTCGAGAAGCTGGAACTTGGAGTGGGTGTCGGCTCTAAGACACTTAGTGCTGTGGGATCACCAATGCCCTTTATGGTGATAGGCTCCTCCTCTTGGCCAACGATTTCACAATTGTGGTGCATGTAATAGAAACCTATAATCCTGGGTTTATGGACACTTCAGGTAAAACCCTGGGTAATACGGAATAGCAGGAAACTATAATATACTGAGGGTTCAGAGCACTGAGGAATTGTACCTGTTTAAGAATCTGTAAAGCACTACAGAGATAAGAACCTATCATTGCAAAATGTGCAGAATTAAGGAAATGGTGTGAATTAGCAAGAGCACATTAACACACTTGCATTTTCTGCCCTTACTTAGCTAGTCTTTTAACTTAGAGCAGTGGCTTTCAACCTTTCTAATGCTCTGATCTTTTAATACAGTTCCTCATGTTGTGGTCACCCCCAACCATAAAATTACTTTCACTGCTACTTCATAACTGTAATTCTGCTACTGTTTCAAGTTGTGATATAAATATTTATGTTTTCCGATGGTCTCAGGTGACCCCTATAAAGGGATGTTTAACTCCCAATGGGGTTGCAGTCCACAGGTTGAGAACTTTACTGATTTAGGGTTTTCCTCATAGTCATTTGCCCTCCCCAAAACTGTTTCACTTCAAAGGCCAGCAGAGAAGGCAATCTGTTTCCACTCTACCTACCTCTGTGTATCAAGATGGCAGCCAGATTGCTGAGCACCATGTGCAGCTCAGGGTGATTTATCTCTCTCGCCAGATCTGACGCCTTCTGCATATAAATGTAGGCATCATCAAAGTGGCCCTGTGCATCTAGAGTAGTAGCCAAGTCACTCATCAGCACAATGGTCTAGAAAAAGAAAGTAGCGTTTTCTTTACAAAAACACCTACACAAGGGCATTCGCCTGAAGTCTGTCACGCATGCCAGAGAAAAAGCACACACACACACAACTTCAACTTTTTTAGGATTCCACAAAACTAGAGGAGTGAACTGCAGGCATCTGTTGATGCATATTTCCGCTGACCATGTCAGTCCCATACTTCAGTGAGTAACAAAGACGCAGACAGGGAACAGGCTATTCAAAGTCAGAGTGAGAGGCCAGCACTAGGGAGTGCTCCTGCACCTCCTTGCATTACAGAAGCATTCCTGCCATAACCCTGAGCCTCACTGAGAAGAAATGGATCACCTGTATAATGGAGGGTCTCATTAAAACTTTGACATCGAGAAAGAGGTAGCCTAAGCTCTGAATTTCCGGTTTGCTTCTTACTGGTCCCCAATGATATGCCATCCAGGCCCTCTGCATTAAGTCGTAATATTCCATGTTCAGTCTTATTTGTGTGGTGAGCTGCAGACATTCAGACAGAGCATCCACTCCTTACCCTAAGGATGTATTTTGCCAAAGAAGCAGAGATGATCTCAACTCTTTAGTTTTCTAACAAGGCTTTGTTTTGCCTGCTTTGAAAAATTATATATTCTTTAACCGTGGTTTTAAAAGTTGTTTTTTAAGGACTATGGCCTTGGAACAGTAGTAGAGTCCGTACCTTGAATTATGAGGCCCTAGGTTTAATCCCTAGTCCAGCCAAAAAGAAAAAAAAATTTTTTTTTTAAGAGACAGGGTTTCTCTGTGTAGCTCTGGTGGTCCTGAAACTCACTGTGCAGACTAGGCTGGCCTCAAACTCAGAGCTCTGTCTGTCTCTGCCTCCCAAGTGCTGGGATTAAAGGCGTGAGCCACCACCACCCAGTTACACAGGAGGCAAAGATACTCCTATGTTAACTAACATTTACTTACAAGGTTCTGACTGGTATAGAAGACGGTTCTGTAGTATAGTAGTTAAGGTGTTGCTTCTAATTGGTATGGGGAGATTCAGGTCAATGGTAGAGCACTTGCCAGTGCAAAGCTAATCCCCAGCACCGAAGGAAAGAAAAAAAAGGTTCTCATTGGGAGTCTTCAGACCATTGTGAACCATGAGGCTGCACATTCTGAAGCTCTGAGAGCAGACACTGGGTTAGATCTACCTCATACTAAGACTACTGTATAAACCATGACTCATACAAAAAGGGACTATGCACAACCAACGATCAGCAATCTCAAACCCTTCATGAAACAAGCAGTAGTTGGGAACAGTGAAAGCTGGTGGAAAGTAAGTGAGCAGACTGCATATAAACCTTTATACCCTCACAACACAGTTCAGTCTGGCCACACCCATAACTGATAATAGCCACTGAATCTAGAGCCTCACCAACGGTAGGCAAACTCTCTACCACTGAAATATACCCAGACCTTTGTCTTTTTCTGCTTTTGACAAAGGATCTCACTAACTTGGCCAGGCAGCCTTGAACCTGTGACCATGAGGCCCATCTTCAGAGTACCTGCTCCACCAGGCCTGGCTTACATGCACTGTCCCTCAGAAACACTCTCCTCCTTTACCTGGGGGTGTCTTTCTCCTTGTATTTCTTGACAAATCTGCAGGGCTTTTTCATACATCCTTTGTGCCTGTGATAGCTGCTTGGAGAAGAGCAGGTAGCGTGCACAAGAATCTAAGCACATGCCAAGGAGGAGGTAGGTATTGGCTTTCTCTTCCGCTAAGAGAGAAATAAAAGCATAAAGGGAAGGAAGTAGTTATTTATGAAGGTGAAAAAAAGAAGCCAATCATCTTCATTGTGGCCACCAGGTTCCACTGAATGCCTCAGTCAGGTCAGTTAGGTAAACAAACTATAAGAAACTGGAAGGACCAATGACAAAATAATGACAAATTAGGCTGCCTGAAATCATGGAAAACCTTACCCCCATTCTGAATAAATTTAAGAGTTTACAGATCACTTCAAATATTGAATATTTTAACATTGGAAACTAGTAATCAGATGATTAAGCACAGGGCTTGGTGGCGCACACCTTTAATCTCAGCACTCAGCAGGCAGAGGCAGGCGGATCTCTGAGTTAAAAGCCAGCCTGGTCTACAGAGTGAGTTCCAGGACAGCCAGGGCTGTTACAAAGAGAAACCCTGTCTGAAAAGAAAAGATGATTAAGATAAACCCAAAGTACAAAGACTTAATAATGAAAAGTCTAGGACCAATGAAAATTATTTTAGTGTATAAGAAAAACAACGCGGTAAGAATTCTTAATGGTCTCATGTCAAATTTAGTCTCAAGCCAAATTTAAAGGACAGAATCCAATTTTCCAAGAATAAGGGCTGGACTTTGAATTGACTACAAGCTTTATACCTCTGATACCACATGAAAAACATGAGGCTACAGATCTAGAAAACAAGCCCAGTCTCAGCTTTGTAAGACCTCAGAATAATGTAGGAGACATAATGAGTGAGAACAATCGAAGCCCACCAAGAACTAGAAACAGGCTGCTCGGGTGTTTTCCCTATAGCCTAGGCTGATCTCAAACTTCTATCAAGCCTACCTCAGCCTTCCGAGGACAAAGATACAGGCATGAGCAACTAGTCTCAGCTTATGAGCTAATTTTAGGCAAGAAAACTATCAGACAGACCCAAAGATATTCACTTAAATTTACCAGCAGAGCTACCATTTATTCTCCATCTTCTAAGGTTTTCAGGAAATTGACAAATGGCATACAAAATGTTAAAAAAAACAGTATGTTACTATGTAACACTATGATCAGTTACTGCAGAGATAGTTCAAATAAAACAATGCAGCTGTGGTGGATGAGCAAAGCAGCTGGAGTGATGAAATAGTGAAAGGTGAAAAGAAATGAAGTTTAAAAACCACAAATCTAAAATAATTTGCTTTTGTTTAATTATAAAAGGTTAATAATAGGCCGGGCAGTGGTTGTGCATGCCTTTATTTCCAACACTCAGGAGGCAGAGACAGGTGAGTTTGAGGCCAGCCTGGTCTACAGAGCAAGCTCCAGAGAAGGAGGAGGGAAGGAGAGGGAGAAGAGGGAGAAGGAGGAGAGGGAGAGAAAGAGAGAGAGAGAGAGAATACACCATAAAAAATAATGAAAAGGCTTCTCTGCCTGCTGTCAAGAGAAAATTTCACACAATGCACAAAAATGACATAAATTTTTAAAAAATCCCTTATTTATGGGGGCCACATGATTGTAATGGCAGTGTAGTATGTGGGTTAACGTAAACTTATGTGAGTAACTTTTCTCCTTTCATCCTGTGAGGCCCAGTGATTAAACCAAGTCTTCAAGCAGCTGCCTTTACCTTCCAAGTTATTTCACTGGCCCAAAAGGACTTCTTTTTCTAAGAAAGGAATCTTCATTACTTTTTATTTATGAATATAGGTGTTTGCCTGCATGTATGCTGTGCATCACATGCATGTGTGGTGCCCCCAGAGGCAGAAGAAGGGAGGGCATCAGATCTCCTGGAGCTGCAGTTACAGACATATGGGTGCTGGGAATGGAACCCAAGTCCTCTGGAAGGCAGACAGGGTTCTGAACTATGCAGCCAACTCTAAAGCCCCATGAAATTATTTATTGAAACATGATCCTTTGAAATATAGGAACTGCTAAGTTAGACAAGAAAATAAAAATCAGATAGTTTAATAAAAACTGAGTAAGAAGTTCAGCCCATTTTTAAGAGCCCAGAGGGTCATTTGAAATATGAAGAGCACATTCATTTCTCCAAACTTTAATTATATCTTCCACATATTATTTCTGATCACAGAAAAACATGTTACTTAAAGCCAGTGTATGAAGAAACCAAGATTTTTTATAGAAGCCTATACTTAAAATATAAGCAAAGGGAATTCTCAAATCTAGAGTACAAGAACAGCTCAGTATATGTATTGCATTAGCATAGAAAAGTGAGTCGAACAGGAATCTGAGGAAGTGCTACAGCAACAATCTACATCTATGAAGTAAGTATAGAAGTTCCATTGGTAAGAGATCATCTCTAAGAAAACTTGGGCATAGCAGTACCTCCCTAGCTCATACCCCGCACCTGGTGGTAGTTTGAATGAAATTGGCCCCCATAAGCTCTAGGAAATGGCACTATTAGGAAGTGTGGCTTGGTTGGAATAGGTATGGCTTTGTTGGAGGAAATGTGTCACTGTAGGGGTGGGCTCTGAGTCTCATATATATATGCTCAAGTCACATCCAGTGTCTCAGTTCACTTCCTGCTGACTGCATATCAAGATGTAGAACTCTCAGCTCCTTCTCCAGCACCATGTCTGCCTGCACATTGCCATGTCCCACCATGATGATAATCGACTAAAGCCAGCCCAGTTAAATGTTTTCCTTTATAAGAGTTGCCATGGTCATGGTATGTCTGCACAGCAACAGAAACCTTAATACATACCCAGGGAAACAAAGGAAAGACTACAGTACTAAAGCTGTCTGGCTACCTGAAACATCCTGGAATTTTTGCTATACGGAAACTTTCCTTAGTCAACTGTGGTCATCTTCAGCATTTCCTGGAACACAATTAACAGAGGAGAAAAGAAGACTAACAAGGTGTTTACTTCCTAGTATATGACTGATAAATGGGAACCTTTCTGCTGGGCATAGCTGGGTTCCCAAGGGTCACACATTAGGAATTAGCTAAAACCCCAAATGGAAAGCACAGAGCTCAGTTTCTATTGCCTCTGTAAATGGTCTGAGTACTTATGAATCCAGAAAGGCCTTCATACTCGTACAAAATGGACAGCCAGACCCAAAATTGTCACATGATGTGCAGCATTACCACCCCCCCCATATGTACAAAGTATCTACATAGCACAGACATATCATCAACATACTGGCAAATGTTCACTATGTCTTTCCTCCACTGGAAAGTCAGCTTCCTGAGGTCATAACACTGTCACTACAGTTCAGTGTCTAACAGAGTGGCTGGCTCTAATTTCTTTAGTCAAAAGAATTAAACACAAGGGTACTGAAATGAACATGGAGAAAGAAACAATAAAGCTTATCAATTGTAATTACAGAAAGAATTTAAAAACATGAACACCACTATAAAAATGCAGCAAGGAAAGCCATTACAAATCAGTAAGAAAATGACAAATTACAAGATAGGCTGGGCAACCTGACTATGTAGGGTTGGGGGTTTCGCATCTCATGCCATATTGAAATGTTCACAGATAGAAGCAGTTACATGGCACAAGGCAAATGCATCATGGGGGAAGCAGAGTGGACAGGGTAGTGTGGCAGAGTGCCCTTCCACCCAGCATGTCAGCACAAAAGGCAGAGCTGATCAAGCTCACTGAAGCCCTGCTTCTGGGCAAAGGTAAAGCCTTTGCCACAGCTCATATCCATGGGGTCACATGCTTGGAATAGGGACTCCTGACAGCCACAGAAAGACTATTAAAAACAAGCAGGAGAGTCTAGATCTCCTCCAGGCCTTTCAGTTCTCCTGTAAAGTGGCAATTATACATTGCCCTAGCCATCATGAAGGACAAAGGAGGAAATGGGAAACAAAAAAGCAGATGAAGCTGCCTGACAAGAGCAGAGAAGACCATCATTGGGATCAGCAATGTCCTGGCCTCAATGCCTACTTTGCTTGCTCCAGGACCCACTATATGGTCCTGAGGATGAGGATACCCGGAGACAGGCCAAAAATGGATATCAAGGAGGAAAATGGATAAAGGCAGCTGATGGCTGCCTGATACTGCCAAGATCTATGGGTAGACACTTGATTCTGCAGCTCTATCAAGGGACCCACCTAGTAAAAGACAGTTGCTACTTAGTTACATCTATTTTATCCCTGAGCTAACTAGTCTTTTAAAGGATATTACTACCAACCCCCTATCTTGGCAACAAACTAACGCCAAAATTCACAAAGAAACAGGACAAAGCAAAAGAGAAAGGGATATAGCTCCTGGAAGGTTTTGGGAAATCAACTTCACCAAGGGTAAGTAAGGCCTGGCAGGTTTGGCTTTAAATATTTATTGGTTAAGGTTGATAGTCTATGGCTGGACTGAAACATTTCCTAGTAAAAAGGAAACTGCCCAGATAGTGAATAAAAGCTTTTAGAAGAGATTATCCCACAATTTGGGATGCCTGTGGCCCCAGGGTACAATAATGGCCCTGCTTTTATTTCTCAGCTCACTCAGGAAATTGTTAGAATGTTAGGGATTGATTGAAAACTCACTGTGCTTACAGAGCCTAAAGCTCAGGTCAGCTAGAAAGGAAGAATAGACCCTAAAAGAAACCTTGATCAAACTGACCCTGGAGACTGGTACAGACTGGACCATGCTCCTTCCCATGGCCCTACTTGGGGCTCATAACACCCCCTACCTTTTCAGACTAACACCTTGTGAAATCCTTTATGGGAGCCAACTCCCCATCTCCACGGTCTCCATCTCATACGGAGCCAAGAGGCTCTAGCTGGAATTTCTAACCACCACCTGCTTTGGTTTATCCAGGCCCTCCATTCCTCCCACCAAAGGATTGATAGAGATGCCTTTTGTCCTAAACTATTACAGTCCCACCTGTTCAGACCTGGTAATTTCACGTGGATCCCACAACATCAAGCTGAAATCATTTCTCCTCACTAGAAGACACCTCATACTGTGATCTTAACCACCTAACAATCATAAAGGTCAATAGCATCAAGCCTCAGATCCATCACTCACAGATTAAATTTGGATCTGATCTGTCCAAGAAACCCAAG